GAGTTGCTTATGCTTAGGTACTGGAAAAAAAAATCTGAACTTGGACAAAAATCAGATGTTTTATCTTTATTTTAGGCAAGACTGGTTGTAGTTCTGACCTTTGCGGTTTGTCAAAATGTACTTTGCTTTGAATTGTATTTTTGGAAAGCAGGCCATCAGACTCAGATCTGTTGTGTTGCAAGCAGAATGTGGTAGGGGTTGTGAGAATACTCCATGCCTTGCTGGAGATGCCAGTTTAGCAGACTCAGAGTTTGTGTCATATAAAGCTTAAACTCTGGACAGAAATATTATTGGCCTATTTGTTAGTCTGAGTTTACTTTCTTTGCAGGTTGCACATTCACGAATGGTTTAGAACTAACCTTTGAAGGGTGTCTGGGATTGTTGTTGGGGGGGGGAATGAATTGGTTTGGGGTTTTTTAATCCCTTCCTCTGTATCTTTAGTGTCTTGCTCTTTGGGTTTTTTTCCCCTGTGTCTTTTTAACTCCTTTAGATAGATAACACTGATGGTGTTCTGCTCGTCATCCAGCTACCTGATACTTCCTTGTGCTGTAAAATGGGTGATTCATTCGCTTACTGCTTTGGTAAACGAAGCAGTTGGGCTGAAAAGACTTTGTAAAATATCTGCTGAATTGTAAAGTTTTAAAGAAAGTCAGGAAGTTGAATCATGACTAAATAGGGGACAGTGATAGAAGGTGTTCTGAAAGGTTGGGTATGTCTCCACAGGATGATGAAACCCAAGGTCTTGTATTTGGCATATTCCTCCATTGTCAGCAACCCCCTGAAAGGAACGACAAGCTTTAACTGCTCTGTCAGTGGGTGAAAATTTGCTGTTGCTGTCAACTTCTGGAGTCATGCTCGTTTGGTTCTGTTGTCATTTTATACTTACATGGAGGGATGGGGGAGATTTCAGATTTAAGTAGGTAATTACTCCAACCCCAATAAGTAAAACCCACCCCATCAATCCACATTATGAAAATTCTGAATTCAGGTTTCAGAATTAAATTACCTTAATTTGGCCTGATGGTGCAAATTACTTAGCTTATAAATCCTTCTAATAAAGTGGAAGTTGAGCTCTTGGTCTTCTGGCTCACGAAGTGTTGAATCCAGCATTGAATGCGTGTGCGTTAACATTTCTGTCTTGGTATCTGACACTTAAAAAACTTCCTTAAACAAGCCAATAATTCTGTCTGTGACTGGAATTTGGAGTTGAAGTAGTATACTGTAAGTAAATGATGGGACCATGCATTTTAAAGGGTGGTGGAGAGTAGAATTAACGTAAGCGTTTTTGTCCCCTGTGTGAGGCAAGAAAGGGAAGAGAATTGCTCAGGCAACTCTTCTGGCTTTTCTCAACTTTTGAGTTCTTGAACTTTGCACCTTAATGAAATTATCTACTATGTTTCCTATATAAATAGTTCAGATAAAGGATATAAAATGATTTTTCTTAGTATGCTGTTGTTCAAGAGGAAAAACACAAAGTATTTTGCTTGATGAAGCTGTCTATTTTAGTGATTATATTTTACAATTTCAAGAAAGTAAAAGTGCTAGTCAAACGTAGTTAAAACTTCAGGAATAAGGACTCTCAAATTTTGAATTAATATGATATATGGAAAATGTTTTTATTTTTTAATATTATTTGCTAGTGATTTCTTAACACAGTGCTATAAAAAGCATAACCTGAACTTTTATGTTTTTAACTGCTAATCAGAAATTAAAACCAAATCACAGTTACAGATCACTGTTGCTTCTAGTGAACATAGGTGATAGCTTGACAGTTGGAGGAAAACTTTTTTTTTTTTCTGTTACAGTGAAAGAGTTTTGTGAAATGTATGTCTGTGAGGAATGGAGTTGTTTCATGCCACTTTCCTCCTTGGTTTTGGAGACACTTGAGCTCCAGAGAAGTGTGGCCAGCAGGTCGAGGGAGGTTATCCTCCCCCTCTACTCTGCCCTGGTGAGACCCCACCTGGAGTACTGTGTCCAGTTCTGGGCTCCCCAGGTCAAGAAAGATGAGGAACTCCTAGAGAGAGTCCAGAGGAGGGCAACTAGGCTGATAAAGGGACTGGAGCATCTCCCCTACGAGGAAAGGCTGAGAGAGTTGGGCTTGTTCAGCCTGAAGAAGAGAAGACTGAGAGGGGACCTTATCAACACATACAAATATCTTAAGGGCGGAAGTCACGAGGATGGAAGCAATCTGTTTGCAGTGGTGTCCAGCGACAGGACTAGGGACAATGGGTGCAAACTGAAACATAAGAGGTTTCAGTTGAATATGAGGAAAAACTTCTTTACTCTAAGGGTGACAGAGCACTGGAACAGGCTGCCCAGGGAGGTTGTGGAGTCTCCTTCTCTGGAGATATTCAAAGCCCGCCTGGATGAAGTCCTGTGTAGATTGCTCTAGGAGAACCTGCTTTAGCAGGGGGGTTGGACTAGATGATCTCCCGAGGTCCCTTCCAACCCTTGTGATTCTGTGTGAGAAAGCTTTTCCTGTATTTAGAAATGTTCATGCCTTGGATTTTTTATATATAAGAATATATGGATTTTTGCTATGGGTGCTCCCTCAGTTGAGATACTACCTATCTACTTACTTATCAACAGAACTTTGCTGGGCAGCCCTGAAGGGACTGCAGGGTGTACAGACAGAAGGAGCCTTGCTGGGTCGAGCTTTGTTTCTATAACAAAGCTAAGACAAAAAGTATAGTCTTTGAATGTGAGTTTAACTCTGAACTTTTGAGAAGTGACTAGGGAATTCGGTTTCTTCAGTAGTTTATATGAGATACTATATTACAGTATTTTATTATAGTTGTTACTATTTCAAAGATTGGAAAGTCCTTGGTTGGCCAAAACTAATTATTAATTAAATGTAGCCAATGCCTTTTCATCCCAGGTATTTCATATTTCACTGAACCATCTGTTTATCTTTCAGTGTGTTATACTGAATGGGTGCATATACTTCCATATTATATGTATGTTATGTTTGTGTTATGGTGTGCGTTTGTAGTAAAATAATTGGTTATTACTTTGGAAAAATCTCACTGCCTTCAATAAAAAAAGAATGAATGAAATCTATGTGAATTTCACAAAAATGGATTTCTTTCATGTTGCACACCTGGGGAATGAGGATAGTATCAGTTGTTGATGTTTGTATTCTGGCAGAGTTTTCCACTATTAGACATTAAAGGTATCAATGAATTTAATGTGCATAAAAAAGCAAAGCCAGGGGAGTAGGAATCTCTGCAGGTTTGAAATTTATTAAAACTTTGAGTTGTATGGCAACTGAATGCCTTGATACGAGACAAGTATTACGCAGTATTGACGTTAAACCTTTCTGTATGGTCTGGAGGAGAATGGTGAGATCTTTGTGGTGTCCATGTAGCAAATACCTTGTATTTCTGTTTCTAATCTACTGAAGAAAGTCCAGAACCAGTCCCTTTCTCTCAGTGATTCTGAGGAATGTCCTTATGAACTGCTTCTTCCCCCTAGGCATGCTTGGAGATTTCTCTCAGTGTGCAAATGCTGTTACAGAAGCTGTGGGAAAGATCTTTCTGCTTCTGTTTCTCTTTAATCAAGGCACTGTGCTCTCTTTCCTCCCAGACCATAAATGGGTACACTTAATCCTTCGATTTATGTAGAGGGTTAACCGCATTATAAAGGATTGCTGCATCTTAGCTTAAATTGAGAGGACAGAGTGTTATCTTCTAATGAAAGAAAGCTTTTATTGTTATTGAAAATGGCATGGTAGAAGTGGTGAGGGTGATAGCTGCAAAGAACTCAGAGATCCTACCTGGTCATATGAATTTAAAGGGTAATTCAGCCCCAGTCAGAAACTCACCTAGCTGAGGTTAATTTCAAGCCACAGGTGCAGCCATCATCGTTCATGAGATCCAAGGCAGGATGGTGGGTACGAGAGTGGCATTAGGACTGCGCTGTATTGGCATTCATTCAGGCCTTCTAGAGAAGTTAATCTTACTTTAAACACAGGTTCTCCAATTGTAGAATATGACTGTGCATGATATGGTAGAAAAGTGGAATCGTCTTTTTCTGTATAGTGAATTTTCAAACCAGTCTTTATTTTAAAAATCTGTTTCAGCTGCTTTTGTTTCAGCTCATTGTGTTAGACAAATCTGTGTGGAATAAATTTCTCTTTTAGAATTTAACAATATGTCTTTTGTTACTAATTGAATAGATTAGATAACTAAATTTGGATTATTGCTTGAAGAAAAGCATGTTCTTAGTAATAAGTTTTTGGGGTACTTTTACAAAGATCCCCCCCCACACACACCCCCGGATATTTTGAAAGTAATGGTGCTACCTTGAAATATTTGTGCAGAATTTTTTTTCCTGGTTTTGCATGTCTGTGATGCCAGGTGACTGTTATTTGTAGGAACAAAGGCCAGTAACATGTTTCTGGTTGTCTGTCAGATAAGCATAAATGGAATTGTGAAGGTGAGCAGTTTACAGCTTGGTGGTCGAGATACCAGTTTTACAAATATGTGCTATGAAGCTACCTGTTGGCTAGGTAGTGTGGCTAGTACGGTGTTTAAAATAAAACTTAGGTTTAACTTTGTTTGGGTTTTTTTCCCCTATGAATGTGACTTTATAGCTCTCTTGATGTGTTGCTTAGACTTTTCATTTCTGTTCCTCAAGAAGGGTATCCCATGTTGCACCTTAAGAATAATTATAATTATAATTAATAATAATTAAGATAATTATCATTATCAGTCATACTTACTTGGTGCTACAGTGAGTAAATGCTGCTACTTCTCTTTTCATTTTCACATGAGATGAATTGGACAGACAGAAGCGAACAGGATGATTGTAACAAATTAACAGCTCGTAATTTAGGGAGAATGGCAACATTAAAGAACCCAAGTGTTTATACCAGCAAGTAGTATAGTGAAGTATGTGGTGAGCCTGTGTAAACCTTTATAATTTTCAGCAGAAATACGGTACAAGGCTTCTCTTTCTGTTACTTTTCCTGTATTTTTCCTCCTTCCCCTCACAGTGTCTTCCTTTCTTTTCTAGCATTATTTTCCTGGATGCAGACAAGCACCTACACGTGATGACTGAGTGGTGTATTTCTGTATTGCTTGTTTGGTACGTACCCTGTGTATTGCGGGGTGGATCAGTGGCAGAGCTTTGGGGCCCGAGAAGCTGAATGTCTCTTCTGATAGCACTGTAGGAAAGATCATTCGTGGTACCTGCTCTGTGTCTCCTCATGAAAATGTCTGTCGGCAGCAGGCCCTTTGCAGCTGGCTTTGTTTTGTGTTTTGGAAGTTGCACGCAGTGACAGTGTTTCTCTGCTTGCTGTAGAAATACTAGCCTGAAGTAGCCCAACATAAACTTTGAAAGTGAAACCAACATCAATACAAGTCAATATGAAGAGGTGATATTCAGCTGTTGCATGCCTGCTAAGTATTTTCTTTCCTTTTTTGGGAAGGGCTGGAAAACTTTCTCACAATTATGTTATTCAGCCACTAATATTAAAAGAACAGTCAGACTATTGCTGACCACAAAAATCACTTTGAGAGAATGGTCTGGTTTATTATTTCTGTCTTTCTGGCATATGCTTTAAACGGGTGGACAGCATTTCTAAAATTATGTTTTGAAATGCATCAGGATTCGGAAACAAGCTGCATTTGGAATTGGGCTTTGGTGCCTGCACCCATACAATTAGGTTATATTCTTTTCAACATGTGTTCCAGGGTTTAGGCATTTGTGCATACTCCTTCATAAAAAGAAGCACAGAAATGCAAATTTTTTGGTTTTACTGAATGTCTTCCCTGTTCTTCCTTTTGTTTTCACTGTATTAATTTCAAACACTTTCGTTTTCTCAAATAAGTAGGTACAGAATCTGTTCCTTGCCAAAGGCAGTTTATTATTGTAAATTGTATACTGGTTTCTACAGGTAACTTTACAAAAATCTTACAGGAAAATTGTTTGAAAAATTATTCCTTTTTATAGAACGTGATGTTGATCCTTATTGCTAAGAGACGTTGGTTTGGAGAGCATTGCAGCCTTGCAGCTTTTCTCAGACTCCTAGATAACTGTATTAAGGTTTAAGAGGCTTGCATAAATATCTTCTATAAGCGTAAAGTCACCCTTGTTATGCTGAGGGTACCACCATACCTTACAACCGAGGAGAAGCATTTTGGTGTATCCACCTTCTGTCAGGATTGAAAAGTGGGACGGACCCTTACTCGGAAAGCAATTCTTATACATCATCTCCCAGGAAATCTAACCTTCGTTTATGAAGCTAAACTTAATTTTTGCTGACAGCCAGCCTGCTACAGTCTTGTAAAATAGCAAGAAACGAAAACTGAGCCTGACTGAGCACTATTCTTATTCTTTGTCCGCTTCTGCACAGCTGTGTGAAAAAGAAAAATAAAGGTTTATTTATACTCAATGGATGTGATTTCCTGCAATGAAACAATTGCACATGGGCTACACACATCAGGTTTCTTTGACATCTCTTATTTGACTCAGCAAAAATGCTTCACTTTTTTCTTTTTCAGTGACTTGGCACACATTGATCTTGCTGGGTTATTTTTGTTTGCTTGTTTTCCCCTCACTGTTAGTTCATTGCGGCCTTAGAGTCAGTCAAGTTGTGGCTTTCTTTTTCCCTGCAGTTTTTCAGCATGCTTGAAAAAATTTGTTAGCAGTATACTTCGTTATCAGATGTCTGCTTAAAAGAAAGTGATGAAAGGTGGTACTTGTGCCAGTCTTTTAGTACATGTATAAAAAGTACAGCCTGCTTTATTCCGTGTTGGGGTGTTGATTCCTGGTTGGTGAGAGATGTAGCAGGAGTGGCTGAAGTGGTTACTGTTCTGGTTGTCATCCTCCCAGCTCCCCCAGAGTTTCCTATTCCAGCAGCAAATACTGATGCTGGTCTCATGATGCTGTTTGTGTTCTTGAGCTGATACCAGCTGATATCAACTGCTGCTGGTTTCAGTTTAATATACTAGGTTAGTCTGTCTGTTGTAACTCGGGACCAGACCTGCATCCCAATCAGCCATCCTTGCGTAAGGGAGACGTAACCTTGGGTAAGGGCTGCTAGTGTTAGTAACTGGTTTTGGCTATTGTAGTGATGAGATTATTGTAGTTACGAGACTGTATATACACAGATGAACTGTAATACATAGATGCCATTTAACACTCTTCAGTTATTCCCCAGAGTAAAACTACCAATCAGATAGAAATATTCTGTCCTGCAACCAAATATGGGAAAGAAGAACAGGACTTACTGCAAGCAGCCATGGATGAAGTAGTGTTTAAAAAAAAAAAAAAAGGTCAGGGAAATCCAGATGTTAAGGGGCAACCCTTTTCAACAGCAGGCCAGAGGTGAACAGTCAAGGTATTTGGGCTTCTGCAGTGGTTCTATTGCTGGTTTTACATACAGTTAATTCTACTAACAGTGGTGAAGAAAAATCCCTTTGAGTCAAGTTGTTATTATTATTTTACCCCACTTTTCTGCTTATTATCAAAGGCATACCTTGCTTATTCTCTGCTAAAGATTTGTAATAGTGATTAGGATTACTCTGTATGGTGCTAGAACGTTAGTGCCCATGGACTGTTTTGCCTTTAAGCTTTGTAAAAGGAGGGGAAAAAATAGGAGAAATGACATGACTTACCATTGGGGTTCTTTGTTTATTTTAAATTTTAATCTGTGTAATACTTATTAAATTATATTGGTCTCTAGACAGTACTTTCATTAGCTGTTCAAATCTGAGAGGGTGGAAGTTTAAATCTGTGGTGAATAGCATCTAATCAGTGTCCAGGTCTTTGATTAGTTAGCTTAAAAACAGGAAGCTTTAAGTACTCTTGAATTGTTAAGAGTGCAGAGTACTGTCAGATAAGATTCTTTTCTCTTTTTTTTTTTTTTTTTTTAACTTGTTCCAATTTTGTATGAAGATGTGCATCTGAGCTTCTCCACACTCACTAGAAAAGCAGGTATGCAGAGGATGGGCTTTTATAAAATTTGCGTTCTTATATTAAAACAATGTTCATCCATTATGAAGCAAGTCACTAGTAAAACCATCTACCTTTTTGTTGTTTTCAAGACATAAAAGGATGCACTGGGATTTAGATTACTTCATTTAAAGAATCCTCATCTTACAGAGTAATACAATGTAGGAATTTACTTGAAGTTCAGGGAAAAGAAAAAAACCTCACCATCCTCAGTATGCTAATGGCATGTATAGTGAGAAAGCTGCCATGTAGTGTATATGTTCTATCAGGAACTGATGGTGTTTGAAATGGGTATTTAGTTTCTCTTAGTGAGTATTTTATGTGTAGTTTCTGTGCTCATATAGACTGAAACTACAAGTACATAGAAGGAAATATCTTGAGTAAATATTTTATGTCACTGGTTTGAAGAAATAACTTCTACTAATACAGACTTCATTATTAAAGTAAAATTAATGGGAACAAGCGTGGAGAACAATTTCTTAGTAATTTGCATCAATAGATATAGGAATTTTCATATAAATTTAGAAATTTAGGAATTTCCAAAATATAGACCTGGAAATCTGTGTTAACTGCTGTTGTTGAAACACCCTTTCAAGTAATACATGAACATATTTCAGTGAGAGTTCAAGGTTAGCAGGGGAACAACACCTCTGCAGATAATTAGACTAAGCTTCATTATCTGACTGAAATGAAAACCTGGTGCTTGTCATGCCCCAGAATGCAGAAACCTTTTTTACTTTCAAGGTATTTTCTTAATATAAGTAATTATGTTGAAAATACAATAAATTTGAAGTATATGTGCTATGATTCCATGGAAGAAAAATACTGTAGTACAATATTTGCAGGTAACTCTAGCTTTTACATTTTCTTTATAAACTGAATGTTCTTCTGCTCAACAGTAGAGATAGTTAACAAATCTGTAGTACAGCACTGAAGTTGTAAATCAAGTTCCTCGATATTTTCAAAGGTGAATTTTTATTAAAAATAAATCTGAAATATTAAGTTTAAATGTAAGACAGCTTGCAATTTTTAAAGTCCTAGAATTGTAGAATAATTCAGTTTGAAAAGGACCTCAGGATGTCTCAAGTCCAACCTTCTCTCAGCCCTGAGAATCAGAGAAGATTTCTTCGGGCCTTATGTGGTTGGATCTTAGAAACCTACAAGGATGGAGACTGTGTAACTCCTTTGGGGAATGTCTTCTACTGCCCTTCTGTCCTCATGGTGAAAAAGCTTTTTCTTTTTGTCAGGTTGGAACTTCTGAATCTCCAGATACATATTGTCATGATTGTTCCTCAGCTGTCTACATCATCTTCAGTTTAGTTCCATGCACAGTTGTACCAAATGTTCTGAAGCAAGATCTGCTTAACTTGAAGTTGTAAATGATTTAAGTCTTACTATGGTTCAGTTTATATATTTTTACAGGATAGCCAGACTTCTCAGGAATAATGCAGCTGTGGGTTCAAAAAAATCAAGTTTAATGCTCCTCATTTATTTCCACAAAGTGAAACAGTGCAGATTAACATTTATTTTAGGATAGTCTAAGTTATCTGAAGCAGTGTTGATTAATAGTTCCAAACCATTTTTGTGATGGTATTTTTATTAAACATTTTTAAAAGCCAGTTCTTCATTCAGCCATGAGTTGTACTTTGCTCTATGTTTCCAGTATGATGGTTTCTATCCCAACTCAATGCTGTTTTATTTCTGTAGTAATGTATTCCGGCAATATTGTTTATAGTATTTATCTTTGGAAATGAGTGCATCTAACCTAAAAGCATGAAAAAGATAAGACATGAATAAAGGCCATATAAATATAAATAATCAAATTTTTTTGTTGTACTTTTGTGAACACTGCATTGAGATAGCTATGTGATTATAGTCCATTGAAACCATTTTGTAGCATCAAACTGACACTACTCTGAAGTGTTGAATATTTAAACTAGATTTGCACAAACCTTTTTAAGCTTTCATAGTTTTTTGTAAATCAGTGCTGGCCACTGTAATAATAATTAATATATAATTGCGTGACCTGCTCTTCAGATTTCTGAGAAGCAGACTGTAAAGTTTTAGTTTTAAATAGCTTCACTAATAATTTCACGTTTGTATGTGATTAATACATGTTGTTCACTTCAAAATGAGGCACACAAATTTAGTTTTGATTGTTTTTTATGAACACAAAGGGGACCATGGTGTTTGCTGAATAGTAATCTGGTAGTCCAGGTAATTTTTGTCAGGAGGCCTGTGTTCTGTCAGCCTGCATAATTGTAAAGATTGCAAGATGCAGAATTTGTGATGAAAGTTCATGTCAGAATTTCATTCTGATTCTTTATTCTGTGTGTTAACATCTCATTCTCTTTCTGGGTCTGATTAATCTCCCATTGTCAGTCTGTGTGTTCAAGGTATTTCTGCGTACATAGCCAGGAGTATATTGGCATAGTTCAGAGTCTGTTTATAGTCGCAAATACCTGCCAGCAGAATTTCTAGAAGTGTCTCTAGTTAGGCTGTCTAAATTGGCTGTACAGCAGATGGCACTGGAAGAGCACATCAGTGGGAGACTTCAGTGATGCCATAATGCGTACAAAATACTAGCGAAGCTGCTGCAGTGCTGAGGGCTGTGAAGAGGTTGAGTAGCTCATTTTAATGTATTCCAGGAAGGGGTGCATGCTGGGCTCTTCTGTTTCAGATCTTCTAGCTGTAGACAGTAGAAAATTCTACACTTGCAAGTATATGAGTATCTTATTGAGGGCTGTTTATACAGTGCTTTTAAACACGTTAATACGCAGTGCAGGATTACTGGCATTTTTTTAAGTATGTGCAAAGAAAGAAGAATATCTGGATCAATTGGAGTATTTTACTTCAGGGTATATGTTTGCTTTCTCCTGTCTTGCATGAAATCCATGTAAAAGACATCATAAAGTAGAGTGGTTCTAATATGTAAGACTTGTTGAGAGGCTTGCTCTCATCTGCAGGTGTGTTCAGTATCCTTCAGAGAGCTTTGGCCTGGACTGTCATCTCACTAGGTTTTTATCATCTTTTCCTCGATGAATGACCTGGACTTCTGGATGTATGCATGTTGTTTATGTGGTCTGTATTTGAGCTTCGAACATTTATTATTTCTTTATATGAAATGTTACAATGGTGGAAGTAATGAGTCGTGCATTTGGACAATCATGCATTTTGCTTGGTACCTTGCTTCCTAAGGTAGGCTGGCAGATGAAAATCACTTTTTTGCTCAAGCAGGCTCAGTAGTCACTCTGAAAGTGCAAAATTCTGACTTTTTTTAAGTTGACATAAATATTTATCCATTGAGATTATTTTTAGATTTGGGATTTTTATTTGTAAAAAACCACATTTTCATAGAATCATTTAGTTGGAAAAGACCTTTAAGATTGAGTCAGAATTGATAAAGATACATTTGATACAGAAAGACTGGTATGTGATAAAAACATGTTCTTTCAAGTGACTTGCTTAGTCTTTTAGTTATGGAGAAGCTGAAGAGACATATTTCCTTCAGTCAAATTTTAGGTAACTAATTCTTTTGAAACACACCAATAAAAAAAGTTGGCAAGCCAGACAGTTCAGGGCTCTACAAATGTTCTCTTCCCCAATCAGCAATGTGATAATGTTCTTCTATTTTTCTCCCTAGCTTAGAAGGCAGATTTTATTTCATGCTTGCTTTTTTAGGGTTAGGAGTTGAAAACAGTATGATGTTCTTCCCACAAGGATGAGGAAACTTATCTGGTAAAGTGGAAATAATATCAGCTTGTGGATGTCAGTTAGAAGCAGTTGAAGAACATTGTGGATTTCACAGGCCAGGCTAATGTGAGGGTTGCCAGGCTTCTGGTATTACATACACAAAGGCACAGTTAAAATATCAAATGAACAAACACTCTGACTTTGTCAGTTTAGGAGTAGCGTAGAATCCTGAAGTTGTATTTCTCACTCATTTTATAGGTTCATTTAATTACATACGATGAAGAGAGTGCAGTAAATTGATAAGATGGCAAAATCCAAATAGTTTAGGAATAGAAAGACAAGAAGGCACTTTGAGCCTACTTTTAATTGACATAGAATCATGGAATCATTTAGGTTGGAAAAGACCTTTAAGATCATCATTAACCCAACACTGCCAAGTCCATCACTAAACCATGTCCCTAAGCACCACATCTACATGTCTTTTAAATACCTCCAAGGATGGGGACTCAACCTTTGGGCAGCCCGTTCCAATGCTTAACAACCCTTTCATTGAAAAAAATTTTTCCTCAGAGTCCAACCTAAACCTGCCCTGGCACAACTTGAGGCCATTTCCCCTCATCCTATCACTTGTTACCTGGGAGAAGGGACCAACAGCCACCTCACTACAACCTCCTTTCAGGTAGTTGTAGAAAGTGGTAAGGTCTCCCCTCAGCCTCCTCTTCTCCAGCCTAAACAACCCCCAGTTCCCTCAGCAGATCCTCATAAGCCTTGTGCTCCAGACCCCTCACCAGCTTTGTTGCTCTCTTCTGGACATGTTCCACCAATGCAACGTCTTTCTTGTAGTGAGGGGCCCAAAACTGAACACAGGATTCGAGGTGCGGCCTCACCAGTGCGGAGTACAAGGGCACGATCACTTCCCTACTCCCGCTAGCCACACTATTCCTAATACAAGCCAGGATGCTTGGAACTCTCCCTATCTGTACCTAGCTTTTTCTTAATTACTGTACTTCATCAGTGATTCTGATACACCAGATTTCAGGCATATGAAACCCACTAAATGTATTCTACTCATGTTTGGTTTTCACTACTTCCATATTTCACAATCATTCCAAGTCTTTATGACATTCCTGTCATAAGAAAAGGAAAATAAAAGTAATGTCTTAACCTTTGAAAGTACATACGCATATCTTGGTTTCATCTTAAAATAGTGTAGGTGGAATATGTTTTTTTTAAGGTGTCAGGACTCCAGGTACCACAGGAGTCATGTTAAAAGTGGAAAATAAGCAGTCAACTTCCAAAAAAATACTGGTCCTGTTTTTTAAGGTTTTAATATTTGTTTACAGCACGCGTTGTTTTTTAGTCTTTTGTTTGTTTAGGATACAATTTTTTTGGGCATGTTTGTTCTTTACTGATGGCAGATAAATCACTTCGCAGGCAGAAGAGAAACCTTTTAGTTTCTCCCCATTGGCAGACATGAAAGGAGAGTGCTGTTTAATTTGGTAATTAAGAAAAGGAAATGGGACAAGCGGAAGATAGTCTAGAGATTGGGAAATGTTGGAGGTTATGCCAAAGACAGAACAGGTCTTTGAGGTAAGGTGATGCAGATAGTGTAGGGA